TCTTCAGACTTGGAAAAAAAGTCCAGAGGATTGATTTTTTTTAACTTTTTTGGAATGACTGTTGCAGATATTATTATCAAAACAATTTCTGACGTTTTTAAATGTGGCCTTTAAACCTATCTGACATCCCAGCTGTAGGGCACGGTGATGGAAGTGTCATGGTTTGGTCTTAGTTTGTGTGTCAGAACTGCCTCAGTAAACCACAATGATCTAAATTTCATCAGTTTATATTTCATCAGTTTAGCCGCCAGTGTGGAGCAGCGGAAGCGTTTTAATACTTTAAATGGGTTTCATGCTTGTTGCTATAGCGACTGTTTGTCATTTGTTTCTCAGATGTTTCTAAAGTTTAGTTTTCAGTAAGAAAAACAGTCCAGCCTGCCTGTAAAGCTGGAGTCTCTGTGGTTTCTGTCCTCAGCTCTGTTCTACCAAAGCGTCCTGCATACCAGGCCAGCCGCCGTCCTTCACCAGGAGCGCCAGCAGCCCCACGCGCTGACAGCCAGGATCCATTCATCGCAGCCGCTCTACGGTCAGTGCAGCCGCTCTGTCCGCCCGCCCGCTAACCAGGACGCCAACCTCACACATTAGCAAACACTTGATGGAAGTGATCTGATGTGTGTGTGGTTGGTGGTTAGTTTACGATGTAAATGAACGTTTCCCTTTCATCTTTAAAGTGCAGCGGAAGTTATTTGGGTTGTGGGTTCCTGTTTTCACCCCACACCTCTTACCATGTTGTTTTGGAGGAGTACAGCTGTACTTCTAATTACTGAATTAGTCTTTAACTACTTTACTAACTGATTAATCGTTAACTTGAGTCTAGAGACTAAAGCGTTCCTTTAGCTCAGGCATGTCCATCGTCTGTCCTGGAGGGCTGCTGTCCTGCAGGATTTACCCCCAGATTCCACATATTCCGCTCAGTCAATTAAATTAAATTATTGGATGCAAACTGTTTTACTTCAACTTCCCAGGAAGCAGATTTTTCATCTCAATCAAAATGTTTATTTTATACCGAGAGGCTTAAAAGTTTCTTCATATCCCGTCAAAACTTCCAAGAG